TAAATTCTAATAAATATTTTCTATTCAATATCTGATTCATCAGAAGTATCATTTTGACTCTCGAATTCGTCTGATTCATTAGATTCTTCCTCATTTGCTTCCATTTCGACAATGTCCTGGATTTTCAAAGGAGTTTGATCTCCGATAAAACCTGTTGGTTTTAAGAAATCATCAAAATGCCAACCATAGTTTTCAGGATTTGACTTCGCACACTTTCTACCACCTTTCTACTATTCAGGGTCCCATCACAAGCGACTGCGATGTTGGGTCCTTTATTATCACACAGTATACTTACCTCGGATCTCTCTGTCACACACTTCCACGCGCGTTGAAATTAAAAACCCCTAATCGGACCGGAATTTTCGCAGACAACCCTATATCAACGTGTTCGCAATTAAACAGCGCTTATGATGATATACATTTTTTTAAATTATCCAATCCAGTGAAAGTAACTGGCATCGATATACCTGTGTTTACCTGACAACCCAGTAGTTCGCCCAGGTAAATAGTAGACACCCCAACGGCTGCACATTCTATACGTTTCATACTTTCAGTCAGGACACAATTTTTTTATTATCCTGATGTTGCAACATTTAATTAAAAATAATTTTTCGAAAAATAATTAAAAATAGTCTGCCCAGGATTTTTTTAGGCAACCCATTTTTAATATGTTTTCTAATATACTAAATTCATGATAAAATATATTTCGTTCTATTATCAGCTCGGTGAAGGTCGACTTAGGTTCGGATCTTCTACTATAACTGATTGTGTTCATTTCAGTGCTTTCGAATGGATACTGTTTCCCGGTACTCTGCCTCATCTACGTGTTTGGGTGCAATTAGAAATTTGGTATGCAAGATTCAATATTCAACAGTTTGATAAAGAAATACTTGTAATACCGAGTATTTTAATAGATTATTATGTAACAAGTGTTATAAACGTCCTTTTAGTAACGAGTAGTTTAAGCACGAGAGGAGCAGAGCGGAGCGAGTGTTTAATAAACGAGTGTCTAGAAGAGTTTATAAACGCGTTACATACTATGATTTTTCTACGAACTCTGAAAATTACATAGGCTTACCTGCAATTCCTGCTAACCTACAAAATAATTCGAAAGGAATGGGAATTTAGAACATAATAGATGCAACTGATGCATGCAACCAGCGAGACACGTATAAGTGATATTGGTTTTGGATGTGTCCAGTCTATTGCTTACTAACCTTTGTTTCACGTTTATTGTCATGCTTAGCGCAGAATAAATAAATTGTTCTCAAAGATGGATGCTTCATTTTTACACTTCTTGGAGATATGCAAGTACCAGAACATTCTCTTCTATTTTACTTTCGTCTACTTTTCGCATATATTTTAATGAAGAATTCTGATACCAACGAATATTGTTTGAATGATTCTGATACAAAATTCGAAAATAACAGTTGACAGTTGATACAATTGACAGGCCAGACATGTCTCAAATTACTGAAGCTGTGTTTAATGAACTGCGTTGCCATGGTAATGTGTTTAAGAAATCGTGTTGCCATGGTAACGTGTTTAATATTTTGAATAAATCACAGATCGACAATCCGTGATTAATCGATCATTTAGCGTGGTACATATCCGTACGCTAAATGCCATTTTAGTTATGTAAGTAGAAAAAGATATCTTTGAGCTGAAATCACCCAACTACTTATTGGTGTTTTTCGCCTCACGTGCCACTCGTATAGGGGGATAATTAATGAGGTTCAAAGGTTCTTTACCTGGGTACCAAATACAAGAGTTTTGAAACTTGGCTATCAAGTACATACCTACATGACCTCTGTTACGTGTATGATTTGCGACCTCGTCGAGCCGCCACGAGCGCAGCCATATTGAAAAAATGGAGCGTGAAATCAGTTTTTTCATTATCTCTTTTTCAGTACCTTTTAGACAAAAAATGGTAATTACAAAAATTGTAGACAAAAAAGTTCTGTACATATTTCGTCTGAAAAGTTTTCTCTCTGGGATCAATGTTTCAATAGTTGCATCGATATAAATCAGAGCTATTTTAGTAAAATTGTTCAAAGCTTCCCTAACAGTGTCATTGATTCAACTAGGAAAGAGCCAACTACTCAAAGTGGAATGAAATGGTCATACAAAGAGGAAAAACCCCAGTCAATACCATAATAGTTCAAAAAATGAACGAAAATGGTATAGATAACGAGAAAACAGCTACTTTGGCTATATGCCAAGCCGAACATTATTGATTTACTTCCTTCCGATATATATGGAACGACTTGTATATAATAATACTGCTGCAAGTGAATCTTTCCTAAATGCTGAGTTGTGTCCAAATCGTTCAGGAACGCTTGACTATGACTACCTACAGACCGGTTTCGAGCTTTGGGCTCTCATCAGTGCAGGGGTGTCTCCAGATGGCTTCTTGACCGCCATCTGGTGCGAACCTGACCCAACTCAAACACATCCCAGCATTTAATACCCACGAGGCGTTCGGCATCTGCGAGATGGACACGAATGCCTCCTGAGTAGAAGGAAAGAAACACTCCAAAGCAAATCAATATGATCAGTTTTTCAGAGACGAACATCCTTTTGAACAGCGACGTGTGTTTTTATTGAAATAAAAAGGGTTCGATTTTTCATATGCAAAAAATTACTTCATTTTGAAATAACAGGATTGGTTTCATATTTTTTTTTCATTTTCTGCCTTGCAAAAGTATAAATAGTGAATTCAAATCAATTGCAAATTTTGGAACGTTCAAACGCTCCGGTAGGTGAAAAATTGAATTGAAAGAAAAAACAGGATGTACTTTTCTCTTTTCTTGAACTCACCGTTTCCGAGTAAATAATTATTTAAGTTCACAAACGTGCTGTTCAAGTGTGCCTGTTTTTTTTACCCTTCATAGAAATCATATTAAAATTTACATATGGGGGTTTGTATCCGCATGAAGAACAATATTATGAGGTCAGTTTTCCTGTAAAAAATTCTTATTATGATTTCATGAAGAATTCACCAATGTAATAAAAACGGACGACACTGTCCAAAATGATGTTCCCCACTGAAAAAACTGATATAGATGGTTATTCATACTGGTCCAAATTTGGTACGAATCGCAAGTTTATGGCTGAGATATACTTAGAGAGGCTGGGGTGTTTGAAGTGAGACACGCTGTATAAGTCATTTTGTTTAATTTTTCATCAAACTTCCAATGAGCAAGTTAAATTCAAAAACAAAAACATGATGTTATCGATTCTCAATAAAAATATATGTACACCAAGTTGGAATACATGGTTTTGTCAGATTCAACCAAACAAAACCATCTAATTTGAAATCAATGGAATCATCGCGATAATAGAAGATACCATCAAGTAATTTGTAATTGGTCAGATCCTGTGAAAATTTCAAGATAAGTGAAATAGTCAGTAGGTACAATCAAAACCAAAGGTATAAGATTTACTTCATTTCCGGGCCTACAGAACTTTATGTGATCACGACTTTTGATTCACATATTAGATATAATTAGCATGTAATCGCCATGTCCTCCTTATAATTTCCATGTAATCTCCAGGTAATGGCGTGTGACTGTGTAACCAGTGGGACAAGTTTGCTTTCAGTCATGTTAGCTGCAGTTTCGGTTCTTGGGCGACTGTTTGTTTTAAATTATAATTATAATCTGTCCCACATTCTATGTATCATTTAATTGCTCTCCGCATTTTAGGTAGAGTAGAGGGTATATTCCACATAACTTGGCTGGTAAAAAAGAATAGATATACAAAAACAAATGAGAACCGAAGTTGTTCATAGTCATATAAACTTTCTTGTCTAGATGATGTCAACTATACAGGATGATCCATATGCCTGTGACATACCAAACATATACGAATTTTCAAATGGAATACCCTAAATTTTCGTCCTCAGATAGAGCTTAGAAAGACGAGTTTAATGATGTATGAAAACATGGGTCTGAGTTCACCCGTTTCGGACTTTTTGCGCGCGAAAGGAAATCCCTATAATGTTCAAAGAACATCGTGCGTTCCGAGGGAGGATAGGGACAGGACTCAGGAGGTAAGTATTGGAATTTTTTTGAACTTCTGGTGATTATATGTTGTTGGGAATACTAACGTAGGCAATGAAATCCAGAGCCTATAGCCGTTCTATGGATGAAGGAGTTTTGATAAAGTGCTGTTCGACATCTTTCGAGGTTGACAACGAAATAATGTGCTGACTGGGCTTGTCTAGTTCGTCTGACTTGTATTGCTAGTGAAGAGATGATAGCAGTGATTTTCGAAGAACATTTCCCGTGGAAGTATCGATAGAAAAGTGAAAGGTCGCCGACCTTTCTGCGGTGTTCCAATGATGTCAAAGAGTGATCTTCCTCAATAAATTGTCAAATTATTTCAAAGCCCTCTAGAAATGTTAGGAATCAATTTTCGAGGCGTAGTTTTCGTCATGAATTACCAAATTTTTATGTTATGTTGATATTTCGTCACTATTAAGACATTTTGAATTTGTCAAGAATGATGACGTATTTTGCAAACTCATAATTTCCCCAAAACTTTCAAATGGAAAACCCAGTATTTCATTCTATCCTTGAATAGGGCGCAGAATGGCGATTTCAATTATATAATATGATAACATGGGTCCGAGAACAATGGTTCAGACTTATCCATGATCTTCTTTGATAAGAGGTTTAATTTTGACCACCAGAAGGGCGCCGATGAGAAGCTTGGCTAGGGCGTTGTCGACATTCAATCCGCCTCTGCTAGCCCAACATTGATTTATGGGATAGCAAAAAACGCAATGTTGGGCTGAACCGACAAACGAATCCCAGGGAGTGAACTATCTGCTATAATTCAGTAATCTTTGGTACATCTCTGTTCGTCGGACCACGAAGGCGTTCGACTTTTTTCCGCGTCTGGCATTTTCGTTATCAAAAGCGGCGTCGATTCATATTTAAATCCGAACGAGTGAGTTACTACATAGAGGCATTTATTCGAATTTTATACACCGTTTAAACCAATGGATATACGATATACAGACGGAAAGAAGGACCATTTACTGGCTGAGCACACAAATTGAAGTGTGGCGTGAGTCCAGTGCCGGCCACAGCCCAGAGGTATCCGCAAAAATGGGGCACCTAACCTTGAAAACAAAATCTTTCGAATTCCGACGAGTAACCACTAGTTTAGACCGAGGGGTATATCTCCTTGGAAGTCTGGTGTACACTCCGTTGGAAGTCTTTGGTATTCTTTGGATGTCTTTGGAAGTCTTTGGATGTTTTTGGATGTCTTTGGAAGTCTTTGGATGTCATTGGATGTCTTTGGAAGTCTTTGTATGTCTTTGGAGGTATTTGGAAGTCTTTGGAAGTCTTTGAGAGTCTTCGGAAGTCTTTGGAAGTCTTTGTTCATTGGAAGTCTGGTGTACACCTTTTTCCTGGAGATTTACCCCTCGGTTTAGACGACAACTTTTCACTCGATATTATCTCATTTATTCTTATTTATCTACCGTTCAAACCAGTGGATATACGATATACAAACGGAAGGAAGCACCATTTACTGGCTGAGCACACGAATTAAATTGCGTCCTGAGTCCAGTGCCGGCCACAGCCCCATGGCATCTACAGAAAAGGGCCCCCCCAACATAGAAAAAAAAAGCTTTCAAATTCCAAAGAGTTAACACTAGTATAGACAACGTTTTTCTTAATATTCTTTATGATGAAGTTTTTTTCGTTATTCTACTCATAGTACTTAGTACAAACATGATTGTATTGTTCATGAATGGTAAAAAATAATCAATTCATATTTTTTCACTCGAATCTGAAAATATCAATGATGTCAAATGTCTCCATGTTACCATTTACTACCCATCTTGATAGAGTATCCCAATAGTTGAGAGGGGCGATACTTGTCCTCACTACATGTACGTATATTGAAATATAATACTCATATTTTTATTCCATAGAAACGAAAGAAATTCCCCAAAAAATTTAAAAAATCAATGTATCACCTCCTCAATTAACATTATTTGACAATAATAATTTAATGCGAGATATTCTGTCATTCCCGGTAGCGATTTTACTTAATATACTGCACGCTAGCACAAACCACGCCCACCGTAATACGTCATGTCTCCGAACATCACCGATATACTTGGCGTCAGCACATCGCACTAAATATACTGTGCTCCAACGCGAGAATTCACTCTTTATGATTTTGACACGAATTCGACTGATGCTCTCTCGTTGTCAATCTCTTGTATGCAGAATATATTTTACGGCAGAAGATCAATAAACGAAAGCAGTTAGACGAAGTGGTCATGAAATGCCCTAGTACATTCATTTTTTCTAAATTCAAATGGGACAGAATCTGAACCGACGGGAACTTCACGATCTCAAGACGGGAATGGTAAGTTTAGTAGAATATCAAAAATAGATGATCAAAATATGAACACGACTAAGCGTTGTTTTAGGGATAATCACAACAAATTCCTAATTCATTGAATATTGGCAATTACTGAGAATTTTTTTACTATCCCTGATGATCAGTAATGTCGGTGGACAAAAGTTCATTCTCAACTTTTGAAAGAGTGAAAAACTACCTTAGGAATTCCATGGTAGAGGATATATTGAATATGTTAACAATTTTAAGTATATACAGTGACATGTTATTGAATCTGAATTTTGATGATGTCATTGACGACTTTGCATCAAAAAAATCAAGAAAAGTATTTTAGTACTCATCTGAAAAAAATATTTGTTGTTTGTTGTTATGTTCAACGTGTGAAGTAAATATAATTCGATTCGTTGTTCATAATGATTTCATGTTTTTGCGAGTGTTTTTGTTATATGCTGTAAAAGAAGCAGTGAAAGGATTATTTTAAGTTTGAAACTGACAATTGAAAGTTAAATATTTGGCGGCGGCGCGGCGGCTTCGTAAAAGTTAGCCCCCGGCGTAAGGGAGTATAAATCCGGCACTGTGGAGTAGGGATCGAAACCCCGGTCTTTTCGCTCGGATGAAGGAACAGTACTCTAATGCCCATCACACTCCTGGCACAACAAACTACAAAATAATTTTATGCGCTCTTGACTACTAGGCTCTAATCTTGAACGCTGCATGTCTCCCGAACAAAGTCGTCTTTGGTGCTCGCAGAAGTCGCAGATCGAAGAAATAAACGACATTCGAAAATTAGAGAGGTCACTGCGATCGAGATAGTGGACGAGAAGCAAAATTTCTGGAATTTGAAGAATTTCCATATAAGAGTCCTTTTTGGTCACAATAAATCACGTTATACATTTCGGACGCATTAGTAAGAAAGCGTAGAAGGGTCAACAAAATCAAAAAAGTACAAACTCGAGTACAAATTATACTGCAGCTCACAACTTGCGATAATTCTAATTACTGCAAACTACAACTTGCAGTAATATCAATTATTGCAACTCAAACTTGCAGTAATTTGAATTTCTGCTACTCACAACTCACAGTAATTCGAATCACTGCAATGTACAACTTGCAGTAATTCGCTCGGTAATTCGAAAGTTGTTGTGTTTGGGCACGACTAGAACAACTTGCACTAATTCGAATTACGGCAACTTACAATTTGCATCAATTTTATTTTCTGCCTTACAACTTGCAGTAATTAGAATTCCAGTTACTCATGAGTTGCACTAATTCGAATCACTGAGTAATTAATTACTGCAAGTTGTAAGCTATAGTATTTCTATTTAATTTTGAAATTTTTGGTGGCCCTTCTACGCTTTCGTACATCAGAGTAAGCACGAAAAAAAAAGAATTTTATTTACAATCATATAGCGTGTCTCATTTCAAACGGCCCCCCCTCTATATCTCAGCTATCAGTCGTGCGATCTTCACCAAATTTGTATCGGTATGAATAATCATCAATGTGATCAGTTCTTCAGAGACAAACATCATTTTAGACAGTGCCGTGCTTCTTTATCGAATGAATAGGGGTCAGTTTTTTATTAAATCATATTAGGCATTTTTTCACAGGAAAACTGACCTCATAATATTGTTCTTCATGGTTCCAAACCCACTTATGTGGATTTTCATAAGATGCCTATGGAGGGTTTCAGAAAAACAGGCACATCTAAACAGAATTTTTGCGAACGTAATAATTATTTACTCGGAAACGGTGAGTTCAACATAAAAAAGTATAACTCGTTTTTCCTTCCAAATCATGATTTTCCACCTACCGGAGCCATTGAACGCTCCAAAATTCGTAGTTGATTTGAAGTCACTATTTATTCGAGACTGAAAATGAAAAAATTAAGCAAATCCTGTTAATTCGGAATTAGGTGATTTTTTGCAAATGGAGGTTCGAAAGCACGAGGAACAAAAATATGAGGTTAGATTTCCTGTAAAAAAATCCCTAATATGATTTTATGAAAAATCGACCCCTTTTTAGTTCAATAAAAACGCACGGCACTGTCCAAAATAATGTGCATCTCCATCTATTTTCAAAGTCTATTGGACAATTGGAGCAGCTCCAGCAGGAAAACATACATTTTGCACTATTGGTGGTTTCTCTAGAGGGAATTCTTGAATTTTAGTCTCGACTTTAGTACAAGGGGATACCCAAGGGTATACCCAATTACAAGTGAGTAAACATGAGAATAAAAGAGCAATGCACTTTTGCAAAGATATGCTAGTTGGTTCTATACTCTTTACCAGAGTCTTTACCTATTCTGTATATCCACCTCCAGACCTACCCTGGATAACCATACTTGACAGCTGCGTTCGCCGGGAGTAAAAAGGCGGAATTCAGAATGAAACTAAAAACTCACAGAACCTGTATCAATTGATAAAAAACCACTTTTCGGTCATTAACAACGAAAAAACTTCCAATAGAAGAATCGATAAAGGTCCTAAATCGGTGCGTAGGGTAAATACAGAATTGAGAAAAACTCAGAGAGAAATGACAGAATGAGTCAATGCTCTCAAAACTTACCTGTGGAAGATTCGCCGCTATTTGTCTATGGAGGGAGTCCCTTTCTTTCTCGACATCCTGGAGCTTTATTTCAGTCTCACCTAAGCGTTCCTGAGTCTCTCTGAGACTGTCCATTAACTTGTCTCTTTCATCTAACATAGACACCATGAGCTGTTCGAAATTTGCATCTTCGCCAGAGAATTGTGAACTTCTTTGGCTAATACTGTCTTCCGAGATTGTCGGCATAACGTCGCACATCATGTTCCACATGTCTGTATATTTACAATTCACACACTGTCACAAGAAAATCCGATTAATAACATCTATAGTTTCTAACCCCTTCAGTGAACTGAACTTTTATTAACTAAATTTGACGCGTCGGAACTGAAACCGGGACAAAAAACCATACGAACACATTTTCCTGTTGATCTTGTTCGATATTAACAACATAATTTTCAAATTTTCACAATGACACACCTTCAAATTCCTTCTCAGAATTCGGGATACATATACAAATATATCTTATGCCAGCCATTTTAAAACCAATTGTCAAATTGTCAATTTTCTTGTCAACAAGCCCAAACTTCTGCCGATAAGAAAGGTATCATTTATTCATAGCCAGTAGTTGTCCATTTTCAATAGTAGATGGCGCTGAACACGTGGAAATGCAAGGTTGGTAGAACTGATGACTATTTTTTATCATCAAATCTACCAACCTTCTGTTCACGTTTCAGTAGCGCGATCTGGTGGACAATAATAAATAATGTTAGCCCTCAAATGAAAGATAGTTGGCAATCCTGTACTGTTCGACAATTCAAACTACTCATATATGAAGCATAGCTGTCCACAAAGCGGGACCAGCTTCAGGCATTGATAGGGAAAAAATAATATGACAAAATGGCTACTAATTTCAAATTTTCCATCCTTCACTTTCCGTCTTTATAGATTCAAGAAGTACCTCTCATTTTGGTCCCATTGTTGTTGAGATACCTTATAGGCGATGATGCCCCATATACAGAAGTAGTAGATATATGATATACAATGACTCATGACAATGACACTGATGACAATTAAATGAAACATTATTGCTTTTGACAGTTTTGACTTGTGCGGCATTGCTAGTTATCGCTTCTTCTTTCGAATACTAGCGCCTAGAGACAGGATGTAACGAAATGTAATCAGAGCGGCAAGTGCGGGTACAACGACTACAACGAGTAATAGTTATTTATACACCAAGGTAGTGAAGAATATCATTATTACCCAGGGACCAAGATTATATCCCGCGGTTTCAGCTGAGGGGTATAAGGTCCCGTGATAATAATATTCCTTACTACCAAGGTGTATATCACATTTTTTTCACAACTGGCAATATATTTCAGTCATCATAGTTCTATGAAACTGAAATGTGGACCTATGTCACTATATGATAGCAGTTCTTTTCAATCCTGGTTACAATCTAGTCACCATGACAGCATATGACAAGTCGTTATTCTCATCGTTATTGATAAATACCGTTGATTGATATATTACGCTTACGCTGGGTAAGCGTAATATATGAATCAACGTAAATACCTACTAGGTTCGAGTGCCATTCCTGTGAATATCGCATGAGAAGAGTGAATTCGGGTTTATTATAACAGAGGTGTGGCTATGCCTTCATTGACTAATGGTTAATAATATGACGAAAACTACCTTGGTAGTAAAAACACACTTTACGCCTTCATAGGGAGTGAATAATGGTGGGTTCTTTAGCTAGTGATGGAAAAAATATTTTTCATATTACACATAGTACGACTCGTGGCGTTGTTGACTGTGCATTTGACTCTCACGTTCGCGACCCGGGCTCAATGCCTACGATACGTTCGGCTTTTTTATTTCTGTTATCTCTATAAGTGATTATCCGAAGAATATAATTTTTAGGAAGAAGGTTCATTTAGGCCGATTAAAGTTAGATGGTTTAAAAAAAGTAGTGTCCTTTTTCATACAGGAGGGATATTTTCTTTCCTCCCTGAAAAAAGTACTGTCTTTTTAGAAAGAAGGTTCATTTCGGCCAAGTAAGGTTAGATGGTTAAAAATAAGTAGTGTCCTTTTTATGCAGGAGGGATATTTTCCTTCATTCCTGAAAAAAGTACTGTGGAGGCATTTACTGTTGAGAAAAAGTTCTGACAATATTATTTTCTACAGTAAAGGTTCATTTAGGCCGTGTTAGAGTGTGTTGTTTCAAAAAATAGTCTGTTTTCACTTCCATCTGGATTCATGAAAATGCAATTTTCTTATTTTTGGGTTACCTCGCTATCAGTTCAAGATCATTGGAGTACTTTCTTCCTCAAGTTAAATAAAATCAGCACAATCTGGCAACATTGATATGACTGACACAAGATTACGCGAAGTCCCCACCACTATTCCATTTTATGACGCAAACTCCGCAGACGCAGACAACGCAGACGCAAGACGCAAGTTATTCCATTCCATCATGGCTGTTGATAGTGGTGGTTTCAGTTTTCCAATGTTATTTTATTATAATTTCATTTCAACTCTAAAATGTCCACAATCAGAAATTTGACAATTAATTTATCTACTGGAAAAAAATGTCGCATAAGAAAACCAGAAAAAATCGTACTGCAAAGAGTTTCGGAGGTATAAATTATCTTGCACAAGATTTCATTAATTTTAAATTCTCAAAGAGACTTCAGCCTAGCCACTCAGCTGACCAGATATTGCACACATTTACACACAAACCTTCTATTTCAGATATCACTCTGAACGATTTTGCAAATTCGAGCATATGTAAAAGCAGACTGAAGAAATCATCAAATAATGTGAATGAAGTGATAAAGAATATCAAAGAAGATAAGAGTTGGGATGAGAAGACTGAAGAATTTGAAGGTGATTTTATAGAGGAACTAGATGAAGATGGTAATGTTGTGTTTGTTATTAAGAAAACAGAGCCAAGGAGAAGAAAGAAAACAATATCAAGTTGTGAAGATGTGAAATGTGGAATAGGAAATGACTATCCAATTGATATTTGGTTCATAATTTCTTCATATATTAGGCCTGAAGATGTTGGCAAATTTGCTGGAATTTGTAGGGCTTCATTTGAAGTTGTTTGTACAGCAAAATTCTGGTATTGCCTTTATAGACGCTACTATACTTCTGTCCCTAATATGCCAGAACAATTACAACCTGAATGTCTAGTACGAAAATACAGTTTGAGAACTTCTGTGATTCGGGCATTATACTACATGTATCCTCCATTTGTTAACAAAATCAAATCTGACAGTACCACAATGGAAGTCCATCCTGATATACTTTGTAAAAGACAGTGTGAGTCTTTATGGCATCAGAAACAGAAAGGGCAGTGGATATACTATTTTAAGATGAGAGAGAGGAGAGACAATACTTTGCAACATTCCAGAAGTGATTTCAAGCAGCCTGACTTGTTAGAAATGCTGGATGATGTTTCTGCAAACCCAGATGAACACTGTCGTGTTTTGCAGATTGTTTGTAAACATTTCATTGGAATTTCACCATTACTGGGTTAGTACTATATTAGTCAGACTTGAAAAACTGATAAGAACACAATTATCTGATACACAGATATATATACTAAGAAAGCCACATAGGCTAGTTTATTATTACATTCCTGGATTTTTGCTCCTCTCTTTTATACAGAAATTAGTGGCATAGCATGCTTTTGCCAAACTCTACTGAGAAATTCAATATAATGAAATTGTTAGGCTTTTTTAATGACTTAATTTTGTTTTTATTAAAATTACACATAATCAGATCCACGAAAATTAATTCTATATTCCATTGATGAGTATCACCAGTCATTCTCCCATTTATTTATTTATTCACCAGAAACCTCATTATAAGAAATAATTGAATTAGGGTAAATATTCTCCATACTAATCTTGAATCTATATAATAAATCTAACTTATGACAAAGCTCTATATTTGAAAGTACAGATTTAACCAGTGTTTTGAAACTATTTAGAGACCCATGAAATATGTCTGAACCTTTTTCAAATCAATGTTCTGACATAATTGGTAGCATGAGGAGACCTCCTAAATAGTTTTGCATTCCTCAAAGTTCTATCTGGTATATTGAAATTCACCATTGGACAAACACCCATTCTATTAATCAGCTCAAAAATGAAACAAATAATATCAGTGGTTTTTCTGTGATTTTTCAAACTGCAATTTCACCACATATGGAAGCATAATCATGGTTTTCAATAACAATATTAAGCTTATAAGCACAGTATGTTAGGAACATAGTTTGTGTACATTTTAAAGTATATTTAGTGGTATAGGTAGGTGGTTCAAGATTCAGAATTCCAATCACACTTTTTGCCGTTTCATCTTGACCAATAATGAAAAAACCTGAAATTGAAAAATCTCCATTTTGAACACCATATATCTCTGTAATCATTCCTGCTAGACCCCAAGTTTGACACAGTGATGAAATCAGCTCTTCAGGGAGAATCTGAAAATGCAATGAAATCTCTTCCATTTGAAATATCAAAGTTGCTACTACTCTCTGTGAGAGTCTCTGGTAAATGCAGCAATGCTGCATTGCTGATGATATTTCAGATGGATATAGCAAGAGCAAATACTAGTAACAACATTTTCAGAATGATCAAAAAATGATCCTAGGTCTGGTTCTCTGTAAACATCAAAGGTACCATGGACCGTGACCCACCCTGTATATATACTATGATTTTATGCTCATTTGATTCCTTATTTTCAAATATGTTGTTCCATATTTTTATGAAATTCTGAACGAATCATCAAAATTCAGGGTAATTACTGTATTATGCAGGGTATTATGCATTTCCATCAAATAAATATTTTTTGTTCAACCTCCACAAGAACTATTTCCGAACAAAACACCTACTATAGCAGTCAAAGCAAGTACATTTTGTCCACAGACACTAACTTTTCATCTTCAAACACTTTTTGGCTGCTGCAGTGTTGCCAACACTACTGAATTTTCAGTAGATCTCCTGATTTGCATATTGATTTACTGAAACCTATCATAATCTACTGAAAAATATTTGACACTTATTTATGATTATGATCACCAATATTATTTTTGATCTTTAGTCTATCTATTGATTTTTTCATATTTTTTTTTTTGTAAAGGGCAAAGAACTCATTTCACCATATTCGAAATACTAGAAATACTTGTTATTTTCAAGTGGTCAAGATATTTAAGAAATCTATCAGAGTGATAGAGAGGTAATTATAAATAATATTTTAAAGATAGGTACTGAAAGTATTTAAAGTACCAACTGAAAAAATTATTGAAAAAAAAATCAAAATAATGAAAGTCTCATGAAAATTACTTATTGAAAATACAATAATCAATGTGGGGTATTCAAAAATAATTTGCAAGAAATTGAACCCGTCAATATGATACAGTCTCATGAATATTCCCAAAGTATTAGATATTTCTTGAGTCTTTTAAGTAAATAGGAAGTCAATCTCCAATATTGAACAAAAAAATTTGAGAATGCCACTTCAAGACTATTGGAATGATTGAAATGCACGTGCTTGTGCCAATTGCAGGTTCATTTTTTCGGAGTTGACGTCAGAATTAATGCAGTGTAGAACTCAGGACAGAAAAATTGTATTCTGATCCCGTCTGTTCCCAATAATATTAATGGTGCCAAATGATGTCATATCCTAAGCTTTTTTCAGATTTGAATTACATGAATTCATTTGAATGTCAACCTGTATAAGTGTATATGCCACAATGGGCGTGTACACCTTCGTAGAACTTTTAACTCAAACCATGTTTATAATGATCCTTTTATACATAAATAATGATTGACGACATAATTCGATCGAAAAATTAACTGGAATGTTTCATTTTTGGACATAAATAATAGTACCTTCTGAAAACGGACCCTCTTATGACGTAGAAACCTCATCTCGACATAGTTAAAAGAAAATACCAAAAGCCCGACGGAGACTGAGGCAACTGATACATATCAATTCTTTCAACTGTCATCTCGCGCGAATTCACTCTATCAGAAATCATGTATCATTCATCTCTGTCTGGAATAGTCTTGTTTCAGTATTAGGGCTTTGACTTCACATCATCGCCTCGTTTTCAGAGGTCCGAAAAATCGGGGATTTCAATAATTTTTTATAAAACGTAGGGACCTCACAGTCAGAAACGGTTTGCGGTGGTGAGCTAGTTTGGGTAAGTTCTATCGAATTATGAAATAAATTTTTTTGTGATATAAGCCCATTTTTCAAGTTTATGGTTTGAATACTATTTTCATTGAAAATACATTGCACCACTTTGTGAGTATGGATGATTTCTACGATTCATAACATCTATTAATTGAATGAATAGCATATAATTTTGCATAATAATCTAATCTAAATTTTGTGCATACACAAATAACACATGTCCTTGTAATAAAATCACAATCATTAAGATAAAAGCTATGTATCTCATTAGTTGCATGCATATCAATTACATTATAGAAAATAATGAGTGCTTCCCCTAGTGATCCACGACGAGTGGAATACAATATGGTTAAAAGATATAATAGTTATTTGAACACCAAGTTATCAAAGAATATCATTATTACCCAGGGACCAAGATTAAATCCCGAGGCTACAAAGGTGTATATCGAATTTTTGTCACCACTAGCAATATAAGTATTTCAATCATTATAGTTTTGTGAAACAGAAATGTGAACATATGTCACTATGAGAGCACTTCTTTCCAATGGGCTTATATCACAAAAAAAATTTATTTCATAATTCGATAGAACTCACCCAAACTAGCTCACCACCGCAAACCGTTTCAAGCTGTGAGCTCCCTACGTTTTATAAAAAATTATTGAAATCCCCGATTTTTCGGACCTCTGAAAACGAGGCGATGATGTGACATCAAAACCCTAATACTGAAACAAGACTATTCCAGACAGAGATGAATGATACATGATTTCTGACAGAGTGAATTAGCGCGAGATCACAGTTGAAAGAATTAATATATCAGTTGCCTCAGTCTCCGTCGGGCGTTTGGTATTTTCTTTTAACTATGGCGAGATGAGGTTTCTACGTCATAAGATGGTCCGTTTTCAGAAGGTACTATTATTTATGTTCAAAAATAAAACATTCCACTTAATTTTTCGATCGAATTATGTCGTCAATCATTATTTATGTATGAAAGGATCATTATAAACATGGTTTGAGTTGAAAGTTCTACTAAGGTGTACACGCCCATTCTAACTGAAATCTAGTCACCATGACAGCATATAACGTTATTGATAAATACCTACTAGATTCGAGTGCCATTCCTGGAAATATCGCCTGAGAACAGTGAATTCGGGTTAATGATAACAGTGGATATGTCTTCATTGACTAGTGGTTCATAAAATGACGAAAACCACCTTGGTAGTAAAAACACACTCTACGTCTTCAAAAGGAGTAAATAATGATGTTTTATAGCTAGTGATATAATCAATTTTTCAACCAAAATTTAAAGTCACATGTTTGTGAAAGACCAGTGATCCAAAAATGTCTCCGATATATTTGTGGCAGATGGTGCATCCAAATCAAAATTACTATTTTCCATAGAAATGAATAGGTATATAGTTTTCTAGTTTCAACAGTTTTGCCAACTCAAATCGATAACGCGGTTCGCCCATTTCGAAAGTTACTAGTATTTTTTCGATGTGCAGTTTTGGCACGACTCTGTTACCAAGTATTGCGCAACTATCAACCCAGCGTGAAAGCCCTTTACAAAGCAAATCATAAATACTAATAAAAAAACAGAAAAGCAAGTGCGTGCGTCTATGTTCTACTAGGAAGAAAAGAACCAAATATGCTTTAATTTTCAAAAACCGAGTATTCTTGAGCAAAAAGATATAGTCGGTAGTCTTTTAAATGAAACCCTTATAAAACGGATTTTTAGGATTTCTTGATTTCTTTGTTTTCGATGTATTGAACATTTATATTCCTGACACATAACATTTTTTATTTGTACTAGAATTAATAGTCCTATGTCTGATTAACTTTCTCTGCAAATGAATCCACTTTTCCTTATTGCTACCTTTTAAAGAGTCCTTTCTGTCTCGTACCAAAATATTGACAATTTAAGTATTACCACTGGTATTACGAAGTTCATTTCAAAAATTGGCGCCAATATTTAGCTTCATGTAGTACGATATTTGACCTTAGATGTGTCAAGATGGTTGTGTCGGGAGACGCTCGTGATTTATTGATCCTAATGTATATCTTTCTCTCTTCCAGGCCAAGTGCTGACATCTGCGTCCCTCACCCTCTCCCAAGGATTCCGCCATCACCGACTGCAACTGTGCTTCGGCTCCGGCGTCCAGGGCTATCGCTCGCCAGATGGCGCCACTACCTCCACCATCGTGCTCGACCCGGTGATCAATTACAAGGTGCTGGACTGGTGGCACCCCCTTTATCCCCACACTCACAGCATGCAGTGCCTGCTGAACCACGAATAACGACATTTCGCATACACGACTTGTCAAAGGGGACGAATTGCGTATTGAAAGTATTTTTGCAATAGGTTCATTCGGGTTCCGATATCAGAACTGTTCAAGAATCGTTCTCGAACCGCGCAGAACTAGTGTGCAGTCGTTTCGATTCTTAGGGATCTTTCAGACCGGTTCACAAATTATGAAAACCCGAACGCGGTAGAAGAGAACATCTGAGAACATAAGCTCTATTCAGAATTTGCGAAAAAAACAATAGTTTGGATCCTGTATCTTTATTGGAATAATATTCTGAAGCTTCAAACTCTCCTTTGAGTCTATTCACAATATCTCTGGCAACTCTCTGTGGAGGAATGGTGAATATATTCCATCATAGCATTCCTAGCTAAATTTTCAATATGTTTTGTCCCTTCAATGAATTGTGTATTTGAATATAATGACAAAGTCTCCCCAACATAATCATCCGTTTTTCGGTTTATCTTACAAAAATTCTAGAATTATCACATTAGGTAAAATATTTTCAGCAACTTCAGCAAGTAACTCCTTCACCACTGCTTCCTGAAGATGAAGATCGACTACTATCAAATGAATGTACTAACTCCATAATATTGAGAAAATATTGAAAAGAGCAATAAACAGTAAAATGAACAAAAATATATCATTATGACGTTACCCTACAATAGACAGAATCGAAAACTGAATGAAATGAGCATGCGCCAAAAATAATCCTAGAACGGTTCATGCTCGAGAGGAGGTACTAGTTTCGGATTGTTCTAGGTCCGTCCCAGGACGATTCTGGAAAAACCCGAAGTTCTAGAACCGTAATAGTTCGAACCCGAATGAACCTATTCAGTCGATCTACGAGTTTCTGTCTACTCATCAATGTGATAAAGGAAGAAACGTAAATGAGACATGAATGATTCATCTACTGATTATTCTCTGATCTGAATAATGATGTATTTTACATAAACACGCAGATAACACTGATAGATTTTATACAGGATGTATCGAAATTCGACCGGCAATGCTTTACAGGTTATAGCTCTTATGATTTACTGAAGAATGAGAGGAATCAATTTTTGACAATACTGTTACTCCTGTCATTGCATCCAGTGACGTGTCCATGGGGTTGTGGTGACTTTCTCCCAAATTCTCTACTGAGTACAATTTTTTTGTTCAAATTGAAGAAACGCATAACCCTCAACTGGGCCGGAATATTGAATTTTCGAAATATTTGTCCCGAAATGCATAGGCTATTTTTCACTATATAGTAGAAAATCACAAAGTGTCACTTATTATTTTTTCTGCATGAAATAACAATTCTCGGTAAGATACAGAATGAAAACTAATGATGGAAAAATACATTATGCACAAATTGTGTTCAGAATGCGGTTGATTAAAACGTAGTTGAAAGGTATGTGTTCTTTCACTTCACATTTAAAGCGTTATCGGACGAATTTGAAAACATGCCTGTATTTCGTTTGGACTACCTATGTCGGTGGGTAAGCCAGTTACCACTGTTTATTGAACCAGTAAAATCACAAAAATCAGAGTCGACAGCGGAGTTCTGTTGTTTGTGGTTGCTATCTATTTTTGGAACATAAATCATTATAATAGTATAATATATCAATTTGTTTTAATTTTCAAATTTTTCCAATTTGTTTTCCACAAAATCTAACTATATGAGTGTTTATTTCAATATAATATATAATTATATGAAAAAACAAGATTTCGTCATTATTTATTTCAATTAAACTTCAATTGGAGAATCTTTCTTATCTTGCAAATCCTCTATTGCCTGAATTCATTTTAATTTTCAAAATCTTTTAAAATATGAAAATTCCACTTTTTTATTTCTAAAGTGAGAGGACAAAATTCGCGATTATTTCTTTCGAAAACCCAGTTTTTGAAATTGTTTTCATTGGTTCCCTTATAGGAACATAATGCAGGTAGATTTTAAGATGAAGACAATGTAACTTCACGTGAATCCAAATTGAATTGAATACCTACTTTGAATCATTTCCGTCCTACAAAATATGATGCTATGAGATTTGGCGAAACTTCGAGCACTGATGTGAAACAAATATTGATGGAACCGTCTATTGAATGTCTTCAAATAATTGGGATTCTCCGGAAAGACATTCATTAAAAAATAAGAAATTTTTGAAACACGTTTCAGGAGGAGAACTGATAATCCAATAGAGCATCACCCTTGATAGTAGTGGTGAAAAAGTAACAGGCTCGCAACTTATCATCAAGTTAATAATAGAGTTGGTTATGAAGAGGGTCTAATTTGGTTTACGTTCTTATTTGTCAGAAAACACGTACATACATCATCTTCATTCTCTAAATTATTGGTATATCCTAGTAAAAATAATTGTTCATGAAAAGTCTCATCATTGAACTCATAGCCAGAAACAGTGGCGCAACCAGGATCATGCACTTTCTAGGGGGGCACAATAAACGCCCTGATGAGACTATTTTAGCATTACATACAGGCTATTATTACGCTTCTGAAGGCGTTTAAGCAATGCCAGCTAGAGCCATTCGTGGTGAAATAAAAGGACGATTTTCTTCTCGATATAGACAGTCAGTGTGAAGAAAATTTAATAATATCGATAGCTCTAGAGGAGGGGCACTGGACCCTAGTGCTTCCCCTTGGTTGCGCCTCTGGTCAGAATCAAAATCGTCTTGGTCAGTATGATACCTGTATATTTTCTCTGCATAATGTTCCTGAGCTGTGCTCACTTGGGTACAAGATGCGATATCACACTTTATCACAATAATTGTTGAAGTGTATTGAAATAGGATTACATTTCATTGAGTTTATTAAAAAACATGAGGTTTCTATTGGATTATCATTTTATGTTCGTTTTGTATCAAATTTACATTTGTTCAACGATTTCTCACGAATCATCAGGAATGAATGATTTTCCTGAATTCCAATTTTATTTTTATTTTTTGGAAGAGGAGAATTTTCTGTAGATTATTCATAGCATGTTGATGAACACTCTTCAGATAAGATGTACAGGGTTGACAACTTTCTTGGATTTTTCTGTCGGAAATGTTCTCTGTGATAGGATAGAATCATTATGCTAGAGTGCCTTGAACATCCTATTACATGCCCTTCAAAGAGTGTGGACACACTTGTCTTGCTATGCAACGTGAATATGGAATAATAGCTAAACACTTGAAACATCTACAGAGTGAAATAAAAAAATTCCAAGATCCAGCCACAGCGCCGCTTTTTATAGTCCAATATAGTGCAATTTTTGTTAAATCTCAATTTTGTTTTCAAAAGGTAATATATATTATGTCAAATTATGTCTGATAGTGTTTTTTCAAGCAGTGATGTATAAATAGTTGACTTCAATAACTTTTGTCAATAGACTGAGTGTTTGGGATCACACGTTAAAAGGTAAAGCTCCAGTCATTCCTTGGTCGCACAAGACTCTCGAAGACTTCTGAGGGTTGCTCGTAAGGGGGCAACCGAATGACGTATAGAACAATTTAAAAACAACAATTTTTGGTATTATCAAAATGAAAGAGCTTACATCAGCGAAAAAAAACATGCTTACACTGAATTTTCTCAACGGCATTGACAATGATGGGGGAAAATCACATGCTGTGTGGAATATACTGGAATGGCATACTGAGAGATAGTTCAAATGCATTTGCTGATGTATTCAATAAATCAATCGGAAAATTTTATGAAAATATACATTTCCATTTGACAAATTTTGCAGGTACCTACGTCAGTATATTCAGAAGAAAATCTCTACCAAAAACAATTTAAAAAAATATATTATCATTTGAAACAAAAAATTGCAGTTGAAAAATATAATTATCATTGTTTGTTTGATGAGTCATTTGATTCGATTTATCATGTTTAGTTCATCAATATCGGACAATAAATAACGGCGCTGTAGCTTGGGATGTTTTTTATCAGTCAGCCTTCATGATAACGTTCAGATTCCAGGAATTCGGGTTGGTTGCCAAGGCTTGGTATGGAAATAATTTTTCGTTGATTTGGTTAAAAATTCTAATCTCATTTTTTTTTCTCAATGTTGATTCAATTCATCATCTGGAAGATTATATGATTATGCGTATCAAAAGCCTGTTAATAGTAGAGTATGGTGATGAAGTATGGAATTAATTCTATATTCCTATACTATTGAAGTTTGGCAAAAAATATCGAACACATGAATTTATAATTTTTTTGGGGAATTTTTTTTCAAACTAAACTGTTTCAGATGAACCGAAAAGAGTGAATTGTTGCAAGAAATTTGGCATTGAAAAGTTTATTGGGCATTCCTTATATTCGGATGCGTTTTTTTTAATCATTTTGAAGTGACATCTATCAGCTATAATTAATAGATCGCCGATAGACCCTATAGCCGATAGAAAATTATGGTGACATTGATTTATAAAGGGCAAAGAAAATACCCCTGCAAAAGTATTGAGCAATTCTCCATGCTCCCGATATGATAGGACATTGTCGGGAATCTTTTTTAACATTTCCATAATGTTTGAATATACAGGTTTTTTATCGAATCTCTACATATATAGGAGTACTAAGAAAGGACGGCATTTGGCAACATTGCCAGCTACGGAGAATAGCGTTATGATAGCTTTTTCCAAATGCCCTATATGTAACGATTCGATCAACAACTTGTATACCTGGAAATGGATCTACAATGTTTTTATTTTATCTTCAATCATCCAGGGAACAAATTGTTGAGAAATGTTAAATTCCGTATTTTATAACATCGATAATGCTTGACTCTTTACTACCTACATCTTCTCAAACATTATTATTAACAGATTTTAGGATTTATTTTTAACAAAAGGGCATTATTATTTATTATTTATTATTATTCTGTATCAGTGGTGAATAACTTTCGAAAAAGTGTATATTGAATGGTTTTTCAAATATATACCTACCTATAAACTTTTATTCGTTTTGTGAAAACCGCTGCCTGCATATCTGCTATATGTTTTCAGTGCTA